CAAGAGAAGATTGTCCACCCCCAGCATTTTGGAGCCCTCCCTGGGCGGGCTGCCTCAGACCTAGTGGCAGCGATGGTTCATGATATAGAGGAAGCCTGGGCCCATGGAAAAGTAGTCTCTCTTCTTACTCTGGACATCAAGGGTGCTTTTGATGCTGTACTCAGAGGAAGGATGCTGCGGAGATTGCAAGAACAAGGCTGGCCACCAAATTTAATTAGATGGGTGGAAAGCTTCATGACAGGACGCACAGGCAGGATCAGATTGGATGGACTCCTGGGAGAGCTCTTTGATATCCCAGCAGGGCTTCCACAAGGCTCGCCAGTCTCACCTATTCTATTCATGCTGTTTATTCAGCCTCTGTTCTTTCTAGGAACTATACAAAGAAGACGTGCACGCTTAGGCTACGCAGATGATCTAGGACTGCTTAGTGCTGGAACCACTCTTGAAGGGAATGTTGTTACTCTCCAGGAGGATTTCAAGTTGCTAAATGATTGGGCCAGCAAAGAAGGGCTGACATTTGATTTTGCCAAAACTGAGATAGCACACTTCACACGGCGCAGAACCCTTTCAAACCCCTCAATTGACCTTGAAACAACATCTGGCACTCACTCTATTACAGCAAAGGCAGTGAAAAGCTCCATAAGATATCTAGGAATCTGGCTAGATAGAAAACTGAGCTTCAAGAAACACGTGGAGACCATGGCGGCTAAGGCACGACAGGTGTCTAATGGCATACGAGCACTAAGCAACACAGCAAGAGGCGCCCCAGTACAACTGCTTAGACAATCCATTCAGGCCTGTGTGCTCTCTGTGCTCTGCTATGGAGCAGAGGCCTGGTGGCCTGGAGCCACACGAATGGAGAAGGGAAAGGAAATCTCCAATTGAATGGATTGCCTAGTCAGAAAGCTAGATCTAGCCCTTAGAGATGCTTTGCGAGGGGCACTGCCAGTCTACAAGACCACACCCATTTCAGCTCTACACCGTGAGCTAGGAATCATGCCAATGAAAGAGACACTAGACAACCAGCGTGCTGTATTTGCAGTAAGAATCAAAAAGCTTGACAAGAGGCACCCGCTAGTGAGACGCTCTAATAAAGTAGCTACCACCAAACCCTATACCACACGTCTGTCTAGAGCGTCCAGTCATGCTGGTGGGATAGAAGCATATGACCCTCTACTCACGCCCCCTTGGATGAGATTTCCCAGGAAAGAAGATCTGCAGATTGGGTATGAGGCAGGCCGCACAAAGGAACAGGCAGCACAAGACTTTAAGAGCTGGCTACAACAACGCAATCCCCTGGATCTGGTGGTCTTTACCGATGGTTCACAGATAGAGCACCCTCAGCGTGCGACTGGTGCAGGATGGGCTATATGCTGGGGTAGCAAACACCATCTAATCTCCACAGGAAACCTGCCAATGGATAAAGCAGAGGTCTTTGACGCAGAGGCAATGGCAGCCCTGCAGGGCCTAAAGGAAGCCACCACCTTGCCTCAGGCGAAGTTTGCCAGCAACGTCTACATTTGCCTAGACAATTTGGAGGTAGCACGAGCCCTTGGATCTGTGCCAAACACCTCTAGCCAGCAGGTCTTCGCGCAGTTTCTGAAAGCCATAAAGGCCTGGCAGAGCAGGGATAGGCTCCCATTGGCCACCCAGAGCAGGGTGGTCATTAGATGGGGTCCCAGGCCACGCAGGCGTGGCTGGTAATGAAAAGGCAGATCTTGAAGCCAAAGCAGCCGCAGCGCAGGCAGCAAGTGCAAGCATGGTACCTCAACCTGACAGCATAGGCACTCTAGCTTATATAAAGCGACACACTATGGAACAAACCACACGGGCCTTTGAGAACTACTGGGCCAAAAATCAGCCCAAACGCTATATGGAGCTGGAGATCCCACTAAAGAGAGCCTCAACAGAGGTAAAACTTTCACGCTTCACATTAGGAAAGCTCTATGCCGCCTGATCAGGTCATGGAGACTTTGCAGCCTACCACAGCCACCTTAAGCATGAAGATGCAGAGTGCTACTGCCGGTGTGGACATAGCAAAACTCCAGAACATTTCTACTATTGCACTCTTGCAAGAAAAGCAGCAAAGTGGCGCCGGCCTATCTACAATCTCCGCGAGACACTGGCAACCTCGCGTGGGGCCCTAGAATTCAATAACTGGCTAAGAGAAACAGCCTTCTATCAGAATATCTGTCCAATGCGCCGTCGCGCACCTCCAGATCAGATCCCACAGACCATTCTCTCCTCTGTCTTGCCCCCATCTTCCTCACCACCTCCTCCTCCTTCCTCTCTTTCCTCTCCTTTCTTTCCTTCCTTGCCTTCCTTCCTATCCGCCTCCCCTACCTCCCTCCCACAAACCTAAAACCTCTCAAAACCTCTGCTCTATGGCAACCGACCCATGGGCTCTGCCGGTGCAGCAATACGCAACCCATTTTTGCCTCATTTGTAAGATAGCTACTAGATAGGTAGTCGCCTACGGGCGTAGCTCTACCCGCCCTATAGTTCGACGCGGACTCTACTAGATCACGTGCCCTTAAGGCACGTGGACTAACCGGGCGTTAAATAAAAACACACACACACACACACACACACACACAATGCAACAAAGTAGACAACGGTCCTCTAAGAAATAATAATACTACTAGCGATTGGGCCTTTTTTGCCGGGGTAGTTCTAACACTAACCTATAGGCCTGGTCACGTGTAGGGCAGCCGGGGCTGAGACTACTAAAAAATATGGAATCAGCTGATATATGTTGTCAAGGCATTATAGAGGCATTCAAATGTCGAGAAAGAAAGCAAGCTCTATCCACTACAAAGCCCTCACTGATTCACAAGAAAAATGACTCCTTTTTCATATCAATCAATTGGCAGATCATGGTTTCCTTTGTACACCTCAAATCCTTCATAATCTTGTTGTTGAGATTCTAAAAGCATCTATTGAAGTCAACTAAGTGGCTTAGTTCTGCAAGCATTACAAGAATGTAATCAAGTCATTCTACCTGTGAAATATCAATCAACAATACAAGATTGCAGACAATTCTGCATACTTCAAGTATTATTTTAATCTTGTAATAGATTTCTTTCTTATACTACTTTTTTATTTCTCATCTTGCTAATTTATTTTAATTTTTCAACTGCAGACAAAAATCATGAAATGCAATCTTGAATCTGTGAATATCTATAACTTTGATGAGAAAGGATTCCTATTAGAATTCATTCACACCCTCAAATGTATTGTATTGATTAATTCACTCAAATCAGGCTGTATGATAGGTGATGGCAGTTGAGAATTCATAATACTACTTGTTTCAATTTATGCAGATGAAACTTCACTCCCACCTGCTCTCATATATTAAGGAAAATCAAGAGATATGCAAAATACTTGGCTTGAAGATTTTGATAGTGAAAAGGATCAGGTCTACTTCACTGCTTCAGAAAATGAGTTGAGCAATGATGAATATGAGTTAATATAGTTAAATAAGATCTTTGAACCTCTTATAAAAAAGAAAGCAGGCTGCAGATATAGACTTCTTATATTGAATGACCACTCATCCCATGTTAATATGGCATTTATCAATTATGCAGATCAGGATTGAATTCTACTCACTGTCTTTCCTCCCTATTCTACATATTGATTATAGTCGCTAGATATTGAGATATTTGAATCATTGAGTAAATCATATTCCAAACAACTGAATGAACAAATGAGAACTGGAATAGAATTCATACATACTACAAAGAGGTCTTTTTGGCAGCTTTTTGATACTGTGTAGAAGAAGGCAGTTACATCTTCAAATATTGAAGCTGCATTTGCTGCTACTGGCTTACATCTATTCAATCTAAAACACATTCTTTAAAAGCTTCAAATACGACCTTGCACCCCTCCAGATGCAATATATCAATCAAGAATGCCTACTTCTATTATTGGCTTGTGAAAATTGATAAAGGAAGTCAAGTAACAGTAGCATCAAATATTTAATGATCTCAACCAGGTGATCTGTGCAGGGGAAAATCTTGCTCTTAATTAAGAGGTTCTTCTAATAGAGAATAGGCAACTACAGCAAGCTCTTAATCAAGAGAGAAGATGTTGCAAGTATAGCAGGGCAATGAGGTTGCTAGATCCTTTAAATCTATTATTAGCACAGTTCTTTTCACTGGCAAAGGTGCAGAGCATCCGCGAGCAGATGACTGCCGCGGAAGCTACCAAAAAGGATGAACAGGCCCATAAGAAGGATGTCAAATTGCAACATACTATTCATAAAAAGCAGAAGGAGGTAGATATCATATCATAGCAGATAGAATAGGAGACAGCTCACTAGGTAGCAAAAGAGCAAAAGGAGATGGATAAGGCCATCAGAGCCACTCAATAGCAGATTAAGAAGGAGCTTAGAGATGCAAGGAAGGCTCAAGAGCAAAAACAGAAGGAAGAATGAAATACTATATAGCTACAATTATAATTGAATAAGAAGATAATTGAAGAATTTAAAAATTACCTTTCTAATTGGGAAAG